GGGTTCAACTGTATTTAATGAATTTTTAAACATCTTCTCTGGCAGAGCATTTCTCAAATTTTGACCAAATTTAAAAGAAATTGACGAAGGCTAGCCTAAAATAATGTACACGAAATCGAACGAATGAGACCAACCCAAAAAGCGAAAACCCGTTTGAGTTTCCGCTTTCTTTCTTCTACTGACTTAAAACTGAACTCGTCGCTGAGGTCCGATGTTACGGTTGTAATAGGCCAATTTCGATATATTAAAATTCTAACTTGGCTTCGAGGCTTAGGGGAATAAAACAAAAGAAATCGCATCGAGGATGAGAGATGAATAATTAATTTCTTTTGTTTGATTCCCCTAAACCTCGGAGCGAAGTTTAATATATCGGAATTGGCCTATTCGACTGAGAGAGAAAAAAAGGAAAACTTTGGGCACAAGTTTACAGTCAAAACGCAGGGCTGCCGAGTACCTTCTTCAGCAATAACGCAAAACGCAACGGTATAAATGTTTTTTAAGAACGTGTGAACGTGTGAACCTCATTTAGGACTAGCTAAAAACTTGTAAATTAATGTCTGAAATGAGTCTGTTTCATTTTAATCGAGTTCGTTTTCGATTCCAAAATCTGAATCTAGTAAGTAATGAATACCCTTATTCATGTGTCAGGCTAAAATGGCAGAAATAAAACTATTAAAAGCGGACACTTAAACATAAAAATAACAAGATCTAGATATTATGTTTACAATATAAAAATTGTCAGATAAAAATGCATAAGATATCTAAGATAAAAATACATAAAAGCCATCTTAGAGGCACATGAAATCATTACTACAACTATCAATCAACATCCAAGTCAAGTTTGCGAATGTTTTACTTAAAGCCTGACAAAACTTCTATTATATTCCTTGGTACAAGATTTGATAACTTAGGCCGAGTATATCTGATAGTGTGCTTCCCATATGTTATTGGATTAAATCTATGGGTAAAAAATTCATTGTTTCACGTGGTGTATTTCAGTCCTCTCAGATCTTTGAAATAGGTTAGCAATACACTTGGGACATATTTTGTTCTTAACCTTGTACATAAGAATAGCTAGCATACCAGTCTAAGCTGAGCTTTTAGAAGTAAAAAGCCCTTGAAGTGTCCGCTTATTGCAGGTTTTGGGCAACAAAATGGCTTAATATCGGTGTCCGCTGAATAACTAAGATAATTTAGTAGGCCGAAGCCATCGATCAGTGAATGTCCCAAGGGTGTCCGCTCAATACGGCTTTCACTGTATTGTACTATTATGAAAAGAGAGTCAGACCATGAAAGTTGAATTACACGTATTTCATACATACATACACATACATACGTACACGCAAACATTATTTATTTGGTAAAGCAGGTTGAGGAACTGGCAAGACAATAAGTCCTGATGTGGACCTGCACTATCTAAAATGATTAATTAATATACACCTAAATATTAAATGATAATGGATGAAAAAATAATGATAGCTGAAATAGATAAATATRCAAAAGTCAACATTTTATTTCGTTGCTGTATGCAAATTTATTACATGTCCGCCGCTGGTGATAATAGCATGTTTTGTCTGAAATGGTTTCAGTTCCTTGCTGACGGAGCTCAACGGAGTACTGTTTTAAGCGACGGAATAATTAGGAAAAAGAGCTTTATCTGTTTCCTGTCGAATGTAAATTATTCCCAGTGCTGTGAAGAATGGCTTTCCGGCTTATTCCGATTAGTTTCGTCAGGAGGTTGTTTATCAAGCGACGTTTCACTTTGGGTCTATTGCTTGCAAGTTTACCGCTCTTAGGATACCTGCTGCCACTCAATTCCTCAAAAACTGGACTCTCTACTTCGGTGCCTGGAAAAATACTTTCGACGAACACTGTACGTGACTGCCCTTGCGCAACCAAGAAACAAACTCAAAATAGCACTTTAAAACCACAAACAGAAGCGATTGGGACATCGACTACAAGAACGTATACAGGTGAACGAAAGGTCGAACACGAATCAACGAAATCCCCGGGAACTTTGGACGTTCACATGTGGTCTGCAATATGTGGAACGAACGTCGATATTTTAAGAAACTGGCCTCATTTTCCTTACTTTCCAAACCAGCGTTCTTTTGTTTCAGAATTTCGTAAAACTCAACTTGCCAGTGTGGAAAACATTGGCGAAAGGATTTTTGGATTTGTTCATCCGCAGGTAAGCGGCATGTATAAATTTGCCATCACATCAGATGATACATCAGAGTTGTGGCTAAGTAGAGATGAAGATCCCGCTTCAGGCGAGATGATCGCGCGGGTTTATTCGCCTCATGGATCGGCTTGGACTGCAGAAGGAGACTACAAAAAATATCCTGAGCAAATTTCTAACGAAATCCTTCTTCACGCCGGCAAGAAATATTACATCGAGTCATTGAGTAAGCAAGGTTCTGGCGCCGCTCATATTGCTGTATTTTGGTCTTACGGGAATTCAACATTTGAAATAATTTCCACCGAATATCTGTCCAGCTTTTCTCGGGAAAATACTGATCACGAATCTATACCCCTGCACGCAGGTAAACATGATAAAAGAACGCTTCGAAGCAAGAGCTATTTATATTATTTTAGTCGTCTTCCGTTTATAA